GCGGCGCACGACGCGGCGTTCGCGAAACTCCTCGGCGCCGACGAGGTCGACATGGACGCGCTGCGGTCCCTGGCGTGGAACGGCGTGCCCGGGCCGCGGCGGAGCGACGTCTGGCGGTTTCTGCTCGGCGTGCTGGCGCCGTCGGCCGGCGACCGCGCGGCGCGGCTCGAGGACGCGCGCGCGGCCTACCGGGCCGCCGTCGTCGCGGTGCTCGTGGACGTGCCCGCGTCGGAGCGGAGCGCCGAGGACCAGCAGACGCTGCGGCAGATCCTCGTCGACGCGCCGCGGACGTGCCCCGGCGTGCCGCTCTTCTGCCACGACCGCGTGCAGGCGCTCATCGTCAACGTGCTCTACGCCTGGGCCGTGGCCCACCCGCGGTCGGGCTACGTCCAGGGCATGAACGACCTCCTGGCCGTGCTCCTCGTCGTGCTCGTGAACAACGACGTGCCCTGGGACGGGAGCGACGCGCAGCTGCTGGGCCGCGACGCGTCCGCGCTCTCCGACGCGGAGCTCGACGACGTCGCCGCCGACGCCTACGGCATGCTGACGAGCCTGCTGGGCGGGCTCGAGGACCACTACACGCACCGGCAGCCGGGCCTCCAGAAGACGATCGAGGACGTCGACGGGCTGCTGCGGCGCGTCGACGCGGACCTGCACAAGCACCTCGACGACGTCGGCGTGCTCCTGCTCCAGGTCACGTTCCGCTGGATCAACTGCCTCCTCACGCGCGAGCTGCCCATGAAGGCGCTCATCCGCCTCTGGGACACGTGCCTCGCGGAGCCCGACGGGTTTTCCTCGTTCTTCCCCTACGTCTGCGCGGCGTTCCTCTGCCACTTCTCCGAGACCATCCGCAACATGGAGAGCGAGGACGTCCACCTCTTCCTCCAGACGCTGCCGACGGCGGACTGGGGCAACGACGAGATCGAGACGCTCCTCTCCGAGGCCTACATCCTCTCCACGCTCTTCCAGAACGCGCCCTCCCACCTCCAGCACGAGCCCGACGACATCTCGCCCTTCGGCCCGACCTGGGAGGAGGCGGGCTGAGCGGGAGTTCCGGGCGGCGGGGCCTAAATGTTTCTTCATTTGAGGGGACTGTTACCAGCCTATTCCGTGGCTAATCCACCGCCTCGAGCTCTCCATCCAAATTGCGGATTTCAAGCCCGGGGCGACCGACAACGTAGATAGAGCCATTCTTGTCCGCCCTGAATGCTACAGCGTGAGTGGGGGAGCGTACTTCGGCGATGAAAACGCCGACATCGCCGTCATTAAGATAGTGACGACCAGGATCAGCAGGATCGGGAACCGGATTGCCGTGGCTCTCGTCGTACTCTTCGTCGGTCCCTCGGCCCATCACCCAACCCTTGTCGAAAACTCCAAGCGCCTCTGCGAGTTCGTGATGGGTCGTGAAAAGTTCGCCATTATCCAGAACCTCGACCCGCTTGATGGAGAGCCTGACGACCTCGCTCCATGGAATATCAGCGCTCTCGCGAACAGTGCCACGCCTCGCAGCAACGATTTTAAACATCGGCTCAGATGCGGCGCGCCAGACAGACGATACGCTCAGCGCAGGGACGGCGTCGCGAAGCGGCAGCCACGCGGTTACGAGCTGCGGCGCGATTTGGCTTGGGAATGAAGTTCTCCGCGCGGCAATCTCTTGATCGGCACGAGCTGCCAGCGCGCGCGCCGACGAGGCGAGTGCGCGCAAGTCGGGCTTGGAATAGGCGGCGAGGTCAATCTGCTCGAGGCTTTTTGGCTCCATCGCGGCCCGGCGCGCGCAGACGCGCGCGCAGCACCTGCTCACCCCTCGGAGCGAGGTCAGTGATGCAGCGAAGATGCTGCGACATTGAATGATCAAATTGGAACGCCTCCGAACTCGCAGATCTCGTCGCAGGTCGGAGCGATGGGCGCCGGCGCCAGTGCATCTACGATAGCATGGGAGCCGTCGTGCCTCACGCCATCCGCGGCCGAGCTCGTGCGCGCCATCAAAACGGGCGAGAAGAGATGCGTTGACGTCGTCACGGCTGCGCTGGAGCGCATCGACCTCGTGGAAGGGAACAACCTCAGGGCCTGCGTCGAGGTGCTCAGGGAGTCGGCTCTGGCCCAGGCCGCGGCCGTCGACGCAAAGGTCAAAGCCGGCGGCGACCTGGGCGCGCTCGAGGGGCTGCCCGTCGTGATCAAGGTCAACATAGACGTCGCGGGCACGCTGTCGACGGCGAGCACGCCGGGCCTCGCGGAATGGCGGCCGGCGACGTCCGCGCCCTGCGTCGAGAAGCTCCTCGCGGCGGGCGCGATCCCGATCGCGAAGACGAACATGCCGGAGATGGCCGTCGGCTTCACGGGCCAGTCGCCCGTCCACGGCACGTGCCTGAACCCGCGGAACACGGCCTACAACTGCGGCGGCTCCTCGTCGGGCACCGCGGCGGCGGTCGCCGCGGGCGTGGCGGCCTGCGGGCTCGGGTCCGACACCGGCGGTTCGCTGCGCGGCCCGGCGGCGCTCTGCGGCGTCGTCGGCTTCCGGCCGTCGCGCTGGCCCGGGGCCGGCGTCGTGCCCATCTCGGCGCTCCGCGACACGCCCGGGCCCATGGGCGCGACCGTGGCGGACGTGGCGCTGCTGGACGCCGTCGTCAACGGCGAGGCGCCCGTCGCGGCGCCCGACGGCCTCGCCGGCGTCACGTTCGGCGTCCCCCGAGACTGGCTCGCGGCCAAGGGCGAGTGCTGCGACGCGGCGACGCGCGCGCTCGAGGCCGCCGCGGCGGCTCTCGCGAGCGCGGGCGCGGCCGTCGAGGACGTCGAGGGCTTCCACGACGTGACGCGCGCCGACGCGGACCGCTGGCCGTTGCCCTTCCTGCCCGTGCCGCCGGAGAACTGCCGCGCGGATCTCCAGGCGTACCTCGACGGCCACGCGGGAATTTGCCCGCTGAAGACCGTCGCGGACGTGCAGGCCGAGATGGCCTCGGACTTCATCAGGGCGACGTACGACCCCGTCGAGGGCGACGACCTCCCGGCGAAGTTCGCCGCGCGCGACGAGGGCGTGGCGAAGCTCGACGGCGCCTACCGCGCCTTCTTCGAAGCCAGGGGCATCCGCGCGCTGATCCTGCCGACCTTCGTCGGGCCCCCCGGCCGCGTCGACGTCGAGGGCTACGCCGGCAAGGCCCTCGGCAACGAGTACGCGCTCTTGTTTCACCTGAACGAACTCCGCGTCCCGTCGCTCTGCCTCCCGATTCCGTCGGTCGCGCACGGCGACACCGGCATCCCCGCGTCCGTCCTCCTCTACGGCGTCGACGACCGGGAGCTCCTCGGGCTGGCCCTCGCCCTCGAGACCGCGCTCCGCGCTTGAATCGCCGGGGGCATGTCCGGGATCAGTAAGCTGCGATCCCCTTTTTTTACCAAGTTATTGCAGGGGACGCGCGCTCGACTGGCGCCCGTCCGAGGTTTGTTGAACCGATGTTGAGAAGTGCTCCTTTACGCTCGCCATTAATATTTGCCACTGGCCATGGATGCCATCGACGCCGCGTTGCGCAAGCGCGACGTCCACGCGCTCCACGCCCTCGCGTTCACGAGCGGCTTCGGGTCGAAGCGGCTCGACTGCTGGGCCGTGCTGCTCGGCGTCGATTTGAACGCCCTCGCGCCGCTGGACGTCGCGTCCGCCGCGACGGACTCGGTGCACCGCGACAAGTCGACGGTGGACAAGGACGTGGCGCGGTCGCTCTGGCGCTTCGCCGACGGCAAGACGCGCAAGCGGCGGCGCGCGTGCCTGCGGCGGGTGCTGAACGCGACGTTCGACGGCGACGTCTGCTACTACCAGGGCTTCCACGACGTCGCCGAGGTCGTGCTGGGCGTCTGCGGCTTCGAGCGCCCCCACGTCGCCGTGGCGCTGTGCCGGGCCCTGGCGCGGACGCGCTTCGCCGACGCGACGCGCGCGTCCTTCGAAGCCCGTGGCGCTGAG